TTTGCTGCAGTCACGATGAAAAGAGCCACTTGGGGCTGAACTTAGCCCTCCGAGGGGATAAAATTAGCACATCAGGACAGGATTCTATCATCGAGAGAGTCAACTGCTGTAAAAATGCGGGTGTATTCATTACTAAATACTCATTTCCCTATCTTTCTCCCGCAAACCCTTCACACCTCTTCACCATACACTGCACATCGGCCGTACATTCGCTTCTCCTTGTTAGACGTCGACTATTTAGCAGTTGGCGTTTATTAGCCATTCACTACTTAGCATTTTTTCATCAGAATTCTTTTTAATGCTATCACTGATTTCTAAATACTGAACGCGCCTATCACCAACCCACGCTCCGTCTCAATGACCGTCTCAAGCTGGTATGCAAATTTTTTTTAAACATCGCCCAATAATCCATGTCAATTTCAAAAAAGGCAATTTTTTTCCTTAATTTTTTTTTCCTTAATTTGAGGAAAAAAATCCTTAAATTTGTTAATTTTCAGAAAATTAAGAAAATGATTTTTCAATTTCTTTTTTTTTTTTTTTTAAGCCTTCCAAAATGGCTACCAACAGAGACTAACAGGAATTCATCTAAGCTCACTACATCGTCTTCTTTTAATGCGAGCATCCATCAGAAGTCGTTCCGGCAACTCGAATTCTCTCAAAGACGGATGGCCCTCGGAACAGATCGAAGTCAGAATGGACAAAGATCGGCTCCAGGTGTGTTCCTTTCCTTTTTCCTCCTCGCTAATTCCAAAATTTGAGCCGTTTCTTTCAAAGGCCTATAGTTAAAGTTGAATGAAAAGCTGTAAAGTCGCCCGAAGTGGAAAGTTGAGCACAAAAACCAACATGAAACACTGTAAAAACCCACAAAAAAACCATTTCCCTGGGAGATGACGAGCCAAGAGATCGTTTCGCCTAATAATCTTACTTTCTGCTCGAACTCTAGGCAATGTTGCATACAGCGATCCTAACAAAAACAACTAACCATAATACGTTCGATGTTGGCTCGATGGGCTGATGCTTCGTTGGCTGCCGCTGGCCGCTTCGGCGTCGACATATTGCCGAATCCTGTAACAATCACTGCAAACTTTGTGAATGCAAATTTACAGCAGACACGACGACAGACGCATGCTCCGCCAGACATAATATTACTAGGAATACTGAGAAGGCTTGGGATTATAAGTGTGGGTAGCTCATTTTAGTGATGTTACTTGGATGCTTCCACACAGCTGTGCCAGGTCCTTCAATTCCGGGCTACGTACCTTCAGTTAGTACCCACCGTCTGTTCAATGTATGTGCACCACCTTCTCGAATCTCTTCGAGTGTTTGCTTACTTTCATTTGCGTGCTACTCACTAATGCACATGGTCAAGCAAGGCGAGCAACATATCCTGCTACAGTATCATGCACAAATAAATAGCAACGCGCACCAGACTAGCCGGTACGATCATGCGTTTTGTGCAATTCAACCCATCAAACGATTGCTTATTAATGATTTTCTCTACATTATACTTTAGTCTATGCAAAAATAGTTCAAACATTGGGAAACAGTTAAAAATTTCACGCACCAGAGAATGAAAGCTGAATTCGA